GAGGTTGGACTAAGTGATACCCTAAGGTCTCTTCTAATCTGAGATATTCAATGATTCTGTGGGAAAATTCTCTAAAAAGGTCTTTTGAGATGAGTGAAGAAATGTGCAGGAACCCATTTTTATGTAACGATGCCATCTTTATTCTATTAAACCCCTCTATTTGCCCTATCCATCAAGTTACCTCTTTTGAATGGATGAGAAACTATTCCTAAAGTACATAAGGAAAACAATTATTAGAATCCGGAATCAATATTTGAATAGGGAATTCTTAGACATGGATCAAAGTGCAGAATGCAGTTTGAGAAGTAATCGAGATTTGATCTTGCGGTTAGTTCAAACAATAGGTATCTGATTGCTTGGGTTTAATTGTTTCTTTTAGAGTGCTCAAATTATGAAATGATAATTGACAATTTATGTCAGCAAAGATTAAATTTGATAAATAGTCTCAAAAGGATGAAATGTGTTTTGGTTGGGGTTTTTTGTTTGCTTTTTAATCAAATTGTTTTCCCTTCGTCTCTTTTTATATTCACATATATGAACGTATTAAAACAAAAATGCAGTGTAAAGGCCATGGTTAAATCAGGTTTGATTCCGAGTTCACACCAGTCTGACAATAACAGATTTGATCTAATACTGTACTGGATGAAGTCCTGAATCACTAGAGGCTGATGACAAATTACTCATGGATTTCAGTAAAAGCAGCATCTCAGAAAATAAATCTGTGTTCCCGCTGGGAAGCCTGATTGACTGGTAATTGTAGACTCATAAATCAGGTGCATTACACACACCAGTATGTGCTGAAAAAATAAATATATATCTCTTCAAGTGGGAAGTGGGACAGTGATTGCCACAGTCTTAACAGTATTTTGTTGAGAATTACTGTGACAAAAATCTGTCAAGTGAGGCTAGTACAGTACTATATTGTGATCTCAGTGGTGCCATATTGTGTCATCCTTAAAGGTGGTACCGGGCTATAAAGACGTGGTAGTAGTGCCATGACGGAACAGCACCTGGATGGGCTGTAAAGCCCAGCGATGAAAGGTGACCTCTGTTACCCTAAACAAATTTAGGATTCCTCCAGTGGGGTTGCAGGGGAGGGGAGAGTTTGGAAGCCCTCCTTTGAATTTTGGGGTATCTGTCAGCTCCTACCCAAAACTTAACTTTTCTGTGTGAGAATGAGGTTGGGGAGTTCTCCCAGCCAGGATTTGTGTATCCCTGGCGTTTTCAAGACTCTCCAAAATGGAACATGGCAGCCTCCCAAAAGCAGGTGCTGCCGTGGAGGGTGCCAGCTGCTGTGTCAGAAGACTTTGAGGATGTTCACACTAAATAAAGTTCCTAATTGCCCGCATGCACAGGCCGGAAAAATCTAGGCTTAGTGAAAAAGCCTTGTGATGCAAACCCCTTTGGGTTATATCTTACAAATATCTGATTTTCTCATTTAGGAAGGACTAATGTGCCGTCAGATTCAACGAGGGCAAACAGAGCTCTTTGGAATAGTTGTTAAAACAGAGTTGACCAACTAGAGGACTGGCAGTCTTTGTCCAGTTACAAGTGGGTTACGTAAATTCTGGGTGATAGTGTGGATGAAGAGGTGTGATTGGTTGGGTCAAGAGGAGAGTTTTTTGGGACAAGAAATATTCTAAGCACACACTGTGTAATCTTTAACATCCATGAGTAAAGGCACGACTTCACAACCTGATCCAGCACCCCATCAAGACAATTGGTAACTTCTGATTATTTGTTGGAAAAGGTATAAAATCCATTTTTAGCCCAATATACATATGTATACTTTGCAGTTTTTTTCCTCAGAACTTGCATAGGTTGAACTAGACGTGGAATTTAAAATTTGAGATTCCGGAATCTAATTGTTTTGAAACTTCTGGAGTTTTTTTCATGTTAATTAACGCCGTCAGTTACATCTGTTAAGAGACACATTGCTTTTATCTGATACAGATACAACAGAATCAGCATAGCATGTTACTTGGCATATGTGATTAACAGCATTCTTACTGATTTTTGGCACTTCTGTTTCTTTTTTCCATACCCTCTTGCCTTCCTCCACACAGGTGCAAAAGACCCACATCAGAGCCAATTTGGATAGAGAACAAAAGTGTGTTTTTCTGAACGTGTTGCTCCTTAATTGTCCATTTCAAGAGTTTGTGGTCGTCTGACGCAAAACTTTTATTTTTCAAAGATTGACACCTATTTTATTTTAAACATTCTCGCCCTCGGTTGCTCTGGGCGTAGGAAAAAGAATGAATTATTTGTCTGCTTAGATGATCCTCTGGCCTGGCATCCTTTGCGCCTCGTGTACTGTACCTCTCTCAGAGCTAGGAGTGGTTTTTATCTCCATATCGTTGTTGCTTCTTTTTTAAACATAGAATTAATTTGTATTTTGCAGAGAGAACTCCCCAGTGGCACTCTCAGGAAACAATGGGAAGTGTTCTTCTTTTGCAGCCTGAGCTGCTTGGCCATGCTAAAGTGTGTTGCGTTATGACTTTAATGTATTCACGTTGGAAATATGCAATCCAGTTAATTGAATAAGGGAGTAGGTGCTTTGCCTCGGGAAAGAAACTGCCTTAAGGTGTGGAATGAGAAGGTGTCAGTGGAAAAAAACATTCTTGTCTATAAGTGCCAGAGTTGCTAGTTAGGTTCTTCTTTCTTTTCTTTTTCCCTCCATTCCTTTTTTTCCCTTCCAAATGTTTTGGCGTATTTCAAGCAGTAACCTGCTGAATTTCCAAGATAACCCTGAACTGGAATAACGTAATATCTGTGTCTCTGTTTTGACAGTGCTGACCAGGCTCTAGACAGATTTGCTATGAAGAAATTCTTTGATGATAAAGTTTCAGCTTTAATGCAGCCATCCCAAAGAAGGTATTTAATTTGTTTCTAATTCATACCAATAAGAAATGTCATCCTTGTCTTCTGCCCCCATCCCGTACTCCCTCCCCTGCTATGTGAAGGCTATTTCCACAAGATCCTCTGGTGATTCCTGAACTCTTAGCACTTTATCTTATATTAATCTTCCTTGATTGATGAGATCTCTCCTTCAGTTCCTGCACGTAGCCCGAGATAGATAAGACCTTTTGTACCACGTTGTTATCTGCACGTTATAACTGCATTGTTTGTTAACGAAAAGAGATGTCACAATCTATTTCTTGATTGCTCCGAGATACTAATAGACTAATTTTTCCCTGGCATAAATGATGTGTATGGAATGCATGTTGATTAGTGTGCAATAAAGATCTTATTATCATTTGTTTGGAGGATCTGCAGATGATGCATCTGCCCCATGTCCGTGCCAGTAAATGATTGTCCAAGCGTGCATTATTCATTCTGTCTGTCTGTGTGTCTCGCCTTCTCGGTCTGTCCGTGTGAACAAGGCTGAATTAGGGCTCAAAGGACGTCGTTTGGAAAGTGAATGGTTCTGGGGTTCGCTGTTTAGCTCATTTTGACGAGAGATAATGAGGGATTCAGTGCCAAAAGAGATTGATATCCATCAGAGGAGTAATTGTGATATAGGTGAATCTTCTTTTAGAAACATAAAAGATCTGGGTGTCATTTAGTAATTACTGTTTGGTTTCGGTCCTAATCAGTGTGTACACAGTAGGTTTTTTAGAAGTCATTGAAAGGATAAGACTTTACTAGGAATTAAATTGGAAAAATAAGTAGTAACAAGTGTAAGGCATTTGCTTCTGCTAATCTCTAAATAGGAAAAACTTTTCCGTTACTTCTTAAACCCATTTGGTGACGCGCACAGCTCTCTTTCGCTTGAAAACCAGTAACGCATTGATTTTTCTTAATCTTCCCATGAAGCAGCCTTCTGCAGGCACATTTCCGTGAGAGTCAAGGACCCTCACCGCAGCCCTGGGAGCTGTGCGTCAGGGCAGCTTTGCAGCTGCATTGACAGGACGCTGGAGCTGCTCCCGACTTAGGCGATCCGTGTGTGAGCCCTGAAGCTGGAGGTGAAACAGGTGTAAATGGTGGTATCCAGCTTTCCTGCCCTCCTCGAGGAAGCACATGCTTAATTCTTCACAATGTGCCCTTGTGGCCAAGAAGGCCAATGGCATCCTGGGGTGTATTAGAAGGGCTGTGGTGAGTAGGTCGAGAGAGGTTCTCCTCCCCCTCTACTCTGCCCTGGTGAGGCCGCATCTGGAATATTGTGTCCAGTTCTGGGCCCCTCAGTTCAAGAAGGACAAGGAACTGCTGGAGAGAGTCCAGCGCAGGGCCACAAAGATGATGGAGGGAGTGGAACATCTCCCTTGTGAGGAAAGGCTGAGGGAGCTGGGTCTCTTGAGCTTGGAGAAGAGGAGACTGAGGGAGGACCTCATTAATGTTTATAAATATGTAAAGGGTGACTGCCATGAGGGTGGAGCCAGGCTCTTCTCAGTGGCATCCAATGATAGGACAAGGGGAAATGGATCTAAGCTGGAACACAGGAGGTTCCGCTTAAACATGAGGAAGAACTTCTTCCCAGTAAGGGGAACAGAACACTGGAACAGGCTGCCCAGAGAGGTTGTGGAGTCTCCTTCTCTGGAGATGTTCCAAACCCGCCTGGACGCGTTCTTGTGTGATCTGATGTAGGTGGTCCTGCTCTGGCAGGGGGATTGGACTAGATGATCCTTTGAGGGCCCTTCCAATCCCTGACATTCTGTGATTCTTCTGGTGGGCAGGAGGTGGAAGTTTCAGAGAGACTCAGTTCACCTCCTGACGTGATGGAATCAGCGTCTTTAAGCAGAAGTGCTACATTCAAGCTGTCCGTACCGTCTTCCAGACACACGCAAACACGGGAACTTGGGAGCGTCACTGCCTGGGAGGACAGAGTGGGTTCTCCAGACTCTTTATCAGCACCTTCTCCTGAGCCTGTCCTGCCGTGGCCTGGGCCAGCATTGGCTGCTGGTCTATTGCAGGGAGAGGAAAACCAACTCTGTAATATGTGTCGGTAATTTTATAACCCTTTTTTGATCCCGTTTTGATCAGCTGGTGGCCCGAATCGCCTTTTTAACGTGCTTTTTCTCTGAAACCATTCCTGGATAATTAATTAGCAATGCCCTTGTTAAAATCCGGTTGATGTATAAACAGGTATAATTTAGGTGAATATCAAAATGATAAAATTTAAAACTGCACCCGTTATTTGTATTTTGAAACTTTTTCTCCACCAAGTCTTGTCCAGAAGGAAATAAATCGTAGCCATTAAGTGATCCTGAAAATATCGCTTGGCTTTTCCCCGCTGCCAGGCAGATGCCGTAACAGTGGCAAGAAGCAGCTACAGACCAGGTGTCCTGTTTTGAGTCCATTCTGACGATAAATAAAAGGGATATTTATTCTCAGATAAGTAGTATTGAATGTTTACCTGGATAAGAAGTGCAGATACATACCCTTCATATTTAAAAATTTCTCGTATACCTTCCGGATAAATCTTGGCACACACTTCTCAAAAATAAGCCTCTTAAATGCGCTGCCTTGAGAAAGGTGTCCAAAAATTCCAACTTTTGGAATAATTAAAAGCAGGTAGAGGGAAAACGTTCAGACTAAGAGGTCACTGACAAAATGTTTTGCCACACTGCTTTTTGTCAGGTCAGTGTGGCAGTTTGTCAATTTGTGATTCTGATGTACCAAATGTTTTTGGAAAGGCTGAAGGAGGAAACCAAAAAGCAAAGCTGTCTTTTTTTATAACATTTCGAAATAAAGTGAGCTTTGCTGCTGTCTATTAATGAAACCTGTTTTAAAGCAGCACAGCCCTCATTCCGGGCTAGTGGAGGATATCCTTAGGGATAGCATTGCCGGGAGCGCAGTGAGGGATGGTTCAGGTGATCTGTGTATGAAGGGGGAGAAGGAGGGGATTTTCTTTCTTTGGTGTGTTCCTGAGAGTGAAGTTAAATGAAGGTCTTGTCGTGGGGGTGGAAAAAAAGAGACTCCAAGCCAGCAGAAAAATGAAAGGAGACTGATTTAAGTAGGTTATTTAAGGAAATACGAGGAATGTGTTTCACACACATGGCAGTGGTGTTCACGTGCTCATGAGCTTGTGACCAAACCAAGTGTTAAATAGCAGAAATACAACGATTTTTACGTTGCTGTGGCAGTTTTCCTCTGTTTGGTGCTGAATGAGATCACTTCTGGTGATGATGTTATTTGCCTGCGTTGGTTTTAATGGTAAGATTGCTCACAAGGGTACTTCTTGCTCTTGTTTCAATGAAGTGCACTTCACTGTAGATGGGGAGGGCCCGTGTCATGCTACCGTGAAAGCCAACTGAGAGCTTCACTTGCAACTAGAGACGGACCAAAATGACTGACCTCACTGTCTCTGCTAGTTCCCTTCTTACGTGGAGTAGTGGTGTGAAGAACTGAAACGAAGGCATCAATGATAGCAATGTAACAGCCGTGGGTTTGATGAAGTGGTAAATTGAAGTGTCTTTTCAAGCTATTTTGTGAAGATTATTCTTCTGGAGTTATGTGTAATGTTACGATGCTACTCGCTACCGGTGGCCTAGAAATATTCATGCGTGAAGAATGTATTTCCCTGATATGGTTGCATTGCTTTTTTTGTTTAATTCAGATAATTTTTTTTTTAGATACGTGCAGTTCCTAAGTGGCCTTCTATCCGGATCTATGAAAATGAATGCAAGCCCTCTTTTCCTGCACTATGTTATCCTTCATGGCATCCCGAGTTTCGATGCTGGGGGAGGTAAAGTACCTAAATTTTCCTGTCCCAAGTGCAGGCTCAAAGTCTTGTTTCATTGTGGAGCTTCCTAGAAAACCGACATGAACTCAAAGTAGAGTTGGTGTCCCTTGATATCGGTCCAAATATTCCCAGTGAAAGACCCAGGAGAAGAGAAATATACTAAAAATTACAGCAGATGAAATAAAATGTCCTTTGTTACATGAAGAGTTGTTGCTTTTCATGTCTGCCTGGTCTCTGAAGAGTTATGATCCCAGTCCCTGCAAAAGAGTGGGTCAGGTTTCGCAGTCATTTCCTGCTTCTTTAGGAAATAAACATATTCATAAATGTAATCTCTTTTCTGGTTTGAGATTGGATTTTCTGTAGAAAGACCATTTGGAAATGGTGTGCTTCTAAGGCAGCCTGCTGTAATAAGTGGCTTTAAAATTAAAATGCTAAACCAAGACACTGTGCGAGAGCACAGTAAAGGAGCATAACTGTATTTTTATCATCTGAGAGTTAAATAACACCTAGAATCATAGCATCATAGAATGGTTAGGGTTGGAAGGGACCTCAAAGATCATCTAGTTCCAACCCCCCTGCCGTGGGCAGGGACACCCTCCACGACACCAGGTTGCCCAAAGCCTCATCCAACCTGGCCTTGAACACTTCCAGAGATGGGGCAGCCACAACTTCTCTGGACAACCTGTGCCAGTGCCTCACCGCCCTCTGAGTGAAGAATTTCTTTCTTATATCAAATTTAAATCTCCCCTCTTTCAGTTTAAAGCCATTGCCCCTTGTCCTACCACTACACGTCCTTGTAAAAAGCCCCTCTCCAGCTTTCCTGTAGCCCCTTTAGGCACTGGGAGGCTGCAATAAGATCACCCCGGAGCCTTCTCTTCTCCAGGCTGTCTTTTGAATCAGCAGCGTGAACTTGCAGTGCTTCATTGTCAACTTTGTTTAGCCTGGTTTTATTTCTAATATAGCTATTTCAAAAAAATACAAGATGTGTGTTTGTTGTATCAAGAAATTTAAGGGACTTACTAGTTCAGAAACAGAACTGTAGGTCAAATATTTTGTTTAGTTTTGAAAATGTTTTGTATTTTGTTTTGGAGTTTGCTTGTTTTTTTTGTTTTGGTCATTCTTTTTCTTCCCTTAATAATTTTGTTTTCCTGCAGAAGAAGGGGGAAGGAAGGCAGATTGACATTTAATAAGGAGCAAAGTGTTCCCTCTTCCTTTCCTTAGTGGAATCCTTTAAAATCTCCTCCTCCCCAATTCAGAACTAGTCTAAAGATCAGGAAAAAAGTCACTTTTTCATAAAATATAAACAAATACTTTTTTGGAGGAAAATTAATCTATCAAAGCCAATTTTGCTTTGAAGGATATTTTAACAGTCAGTGCTATGCCCCTTTGCGTGCCGCTTTGCTCAGTCTGGGTGTGTGTGAGGCTTCCTAATTGTAATATTCAGATAAAGGAAAACAATTGCAGAACAGTCTTTCTGTTGACTTCTTTTCAGCTTGTCGGCCTTTTCTGAAGTTATACCAGGCTATGCAACCAGTTTATACATCGGGAATATAGTAAGTAGTAAGCACTTTCCTTTGTGTTTGAATCCAGGTTTTAACTCTCGTGATTGTAGAATTACAGCCTTTTTTTTCTTTTTTTCTTTTTTTTTTTTGTTTTGTTTCTTTAAACCATAAATTTTATTTTTCTTTTCTCTCCTGTTAAGTAGCATAGGCCCAGAAAATCAAAGCCGAATCTGCATTGCTATAGACCCTGCCCAGCTTTTGAAGGGAGATGTTATGGTAAGTTAGTCGCATGGAAGGAAGGTCTTTGTACGGTGCCATTTACTTTACAGTCTCTGACCTATTTTGCGTTCTTGTAAGAAGATAAATCGAGCAAATGGTTGCAGACGTACTACAAATTGGTTATTAAGTTAATTTAGTCTTCATTCTTGAGTTTTATAGGAATCAGAATTCCTATAAAACTCAAAGTAGAAGGTTTTTAGGAGCCGAAACACTTGCTCTGGGCATTCCCAGTTGTAAAACTGTGCTGGGAAGAAAACACCCAACTATTCTACATGATTTTGGTACACGGAAAGGTAGGACACCAGATAAAAGCTTTCTGATTCTACGAGGGCATGCAGTGTTTGTAAAGCAATTTATATGTGCTAATATATTATGTGTAATTCCCTGGATGCAAAGTGCAACCATGGTTGAACTGCAGCACCATCATTTTAAACCTCTCTGCTTTCTCTCTGGCTCATCGTACACAGTTGTGCACACAGAAAGTAAAGAAAGATAGTTGCTGTGCCTTCCGATCTGTTAAACTGAGAGGATGGAAAAACACCTGGAATGTGAATGGGAGAGGTATTGTCAGAAAGTATTCCTGGTCTATCTCTAGTAGGTTTCAGAATGTTTTTTTATTTTAAGTATTACTTTGAGAAATGTTGGACCTCAATGTGAGGGGTTCTTGCTATTAGGTGGTGGGTTTTTTTGTCTTTTGAAATAATGTTTTTTATTATCATTCCTCTTTCTCCCTTTCCTACTTCCCCTCCTCATTCAGTTTAGTATAAGAGTTTTTAAATATACTGTTATAAATTGGTATACTCAGGAAGTTTGGGACAGTTTTGAATTCAGGAAGCTTTGTTACTCGTTGGAAGACTGTTTGTGCCTAAGGGAATGGAATAGATGACAAGAAATCAGTCTGAGACAAGTTCAGTATCTCTCAGATGTGTGTTGAAAATGAAAAATGAGCATGTAGCTTTTCAGTAATGCTTGTGTTACTTTAAAAGAGATCAGCTTCATTGGTCTCATGCTATTATTGGAGGTAATTCTTCTGAGCAAGCTGGCATCTTATTGAGCATGGTAGTATTTCCTAAACAAAGACATCACTTCAGTTCCAAATATTATTATTTTTTTTACTATGTCTAAGCAAAACTGTCAGTGGCTTCAGGAAAAAGAAAAATCCATAGGATGCTCCACCTCCAACTTGAAAAGATTTAACCACCTGAAAAGTGCATGTTGGGTTTTTTTTGTTTGTTTTTTTTTTAAAAAGAGACTTGCTTGTCTTAGGTTTAGAGAATTTGTTAACACAGTGTGAATAGTATATGGTGATACAGCACAGCCACAGCTGCTGAAAAGATGTACTGACATCTGTAAATGCATACAGGTATTTCCCATGTTACAGTGGCTTGCTTTAATTCTTGGCCATGGCATCAGAAGGTAGTGGAGCCTGAATTCTGAGTTAAGCTTTGATTCCATTGAAAGGTTATCGTGTGTACTGAGCACTAGTGGTGTCCTGGGTATAGATGTACTGATTGTAAGAGAGGCCCAATTTTCATAAACAGTTACAATTCTGTATAAGTGATGTAGCATATCCTAAGTTCAGATTATTCAAGGCTGTTACTTTGAGTTAGAAAGTAGAAAGAAGGACGAACTATGTAGTTCTGTGAACGGAACCAGATTCAGTGTCTTCATAAACACTATTAGGCAAAGGACGGTAGATCCAGCAACTGTGCGAAGCCAAAACTCTTGACAAGTGGGAGGACAAAATGTATTGTCCAGGTATTTGGTCTTCTGCGTCTTCAGAAACTCTCATGAATGATCCACATGTAAAAATAATGTGATTGTTTAAATGCCTAAGAAGCTAATGTTTTAACAGATAACGAATTGTGGAGGAATGTGTATAACCTTAGAGAAGCTTTTAAGTCTTTTCAAGCTTCTTTTTGCTCACATAATATAATTAAATAGAATTATCACAGTTACTGTGGCCAGCAGGTCGAGGGAAGTGATTCTGCCCCCCTACTCAGCTCTCGTGAGACCCCACCTGGAATACTGTGTTCAGCTCTGGAGTCCCCAACACAAGAAGGACATGGAGCTACTGGAACGAGTCCAGAGAAGGGCCACGAAGATAATCCGAGGGCTGGAGCACCTCTGCTATGAAGACAGGCTGAGAGAGTTGGGGCTGTTCAGCCTGGAGAAGAGGAGGCTCTGGGGTGATCTTATAGCAGCATTCCAATACCTAAAGGGGGCCTACAGGAAAGCTGGAGAGGGACTTTTTACAAGGGTGTGTAGTTGCAGGACAAGGGGCAATGGATTTAAACTGAAAGAGGGGAGATTTAGGTTAGATATAAGAAAGAAATTCTTTACATTGAGGGTGGTGAGGTACTGGAACAGGTTGCCCAGAGAAGTTGTGGATGCCCCATCCCTGGCAGTGTTCAAGGCCAGGTTGGATGAGGCTTTGGGCAACCTGGTGTAGTGGAGGATTTCCCTGTCCATGTCAGGGGGGTTGGAACTGGATGATCTTTGAGGTCCCTTCCAACCCAAACCATTCTGTGATTCTATGATTCTACTTCCAGGCCACTTGTACGTTTTGGAGCAGGCCAGTTCTAGTGTGTCTCATCAGGGGCTCTCTTCATCCCCTTTCTGTCTGTTTTTCACTTCAGGGCAAACTTGCAGGTTTCACTCTTTATGATGATGTTTTGCCTACACGGAGAGTTGGCTGAGCGTAGTGGAGAACGAACGTTTATTTGTTCTCCAGTCAAGCAGTCTGCCTCTTTCTCCTGCCTTATATTTTGGGAAATTTAAGGGACTGACTTATGACCACGGTTCTAGTGAAGTGATGCTGGTAGTTGTGTTGGACTAAAACGAAATAAGTCCCTTCAATAGGTAGGAGTTTGTACACTAGGTTAACTTTGGTGGGTGTAAAGCACTCTTTAAAATAAGAAGCAAATACTGTTTTACCTGGTGTTACCACTATGATGTAGACGATTCTTTTTTAGAAAACAAAGCAGCAAAAAACTCCAAACCCTCACTTTCAGATAAAATAATGTTTACTTGCGTAGAGAATCTCCCAGCCTTTATAAAAGGTTGGGAATATGTGGTTTGCATAGAGAATACCTGAAAAAAAGCCCCATCTCTGGTATATGGACTGAAATACTTCAGAAGTTGTCTTGTATGCCATCTATATGGTCAGGGCTGATGAACTTCTGGAATTTAAGGCATCATGGGGTTACTATAATGAAGGGTAGAGAGCAACAGCTTATGTTAGGTTTTTCAAGTCTTGTAGCGAGAAGAATTTCATAACTATGTTTTAATCCCAACTTTCAGAAACGTCCTTCTTAAACCTCTACATCTTTCTTGTATTCCTTCAGTTTGAATAACTGTTTGCTCTTCAGTTATTCAGTATTTTCTGCCTAGAACACTTTTCTCCATCTGCCTTAAAAAAGGTGATTTTTGTTGTCTTTCTAATGCATTTCAGTAACATCTGCTTTATCACAAAATCCTGATACCATCAGGATATCATCATAAAATTCTCAGTCCTGCAACTAAAGTTATCACAATTTTTATGTGATCCTGTACGAATGCTGAGTGGCTTTGTATTACGCTTGGCTCGGAGAATTAGTAGGTCAGATATCCCTAGGTCTGAGGGATGGTGGTGTGAGAGAGTAAGTGGATTGTGTTCACCTTTAGCTGCTGAAATTCATACTAGATACTATTTTTACAGAGTTCTGTGTTCTACCCAAGGTGTCCAAACTACTACCAACTTCCCACAGTAACATAAAACAAGATCCTATCATCACTAGAGTAGGTTTTTAAAAAGTCCTGTAAGAGATGTTACCAGCTCGCAGGCTTGCTTCGAAGAGCTCTGCTTATTCTTGAGTTATTTTGGAATGGGTGTGCTGCATATTCTTCAGTTATTTTGGAATGGCTGTGCTGTAATTCAGTTGTACGTTTATTTGGTACCATGAGAAGTAGGAGTACAAGTCAGCATTCCAGCATCGTACTGATGAATGTTAATCTGATGAATCATAATCTGTTGGTTGGTGACTGATAGTGATGAAAACAGTAATTATTATTTTTACACATCCGCAACAGCCTTGCCTTGGGCCTGTATGATTTGAAAGGGTTGAGTAACACGTTCCCTTGTTGTTACAACATCGGAGGCATCTGCAGTGAGTTACGCCGTGGCTGCTTTACTGAGCAACTCGTGCGTACACACACCTTTGTTCAGGTTTGGGAGAAATTACTTCCTGACGTATTTCTCTCTCTCTCTCTCTCTCTAGCTGAAGTGTTACCACAAAAAGTACCGGTCAGCTACTCGTGACGTGGTTTTCCGCCTTCAGTTTCACACTGGAGCCGTTCAAGGGCACAATCTGGTGTTCAGCAAAGAGGATTTGGACAATGCCAACACAGGTATTTGCCCTCTGTGGCTGGTCAGGCCCGGATGCGTGCGGGGGTGCGTGCGTGTGTCTGCGCACGCGATGGTCGTCCTCAGGACCTGTTTTCAAAAGGATTCTTGGCTTTTTCCATCCCCGTTTTTAGGGAAAGGGAGGCTACTTTGTGTTCATTAACTCCTAGCATTGTAACGCAGGTAAACTCCTAATGAGAAGAAAAGCTCTTCAAGTGAGTTAACTTGTCAAAACAGTTCAGATACTCCTGCGTAGTCTTCATCATCTCCTCTCACGTTTGTAAAAACAGCAGACTTTGGTTTAAAAGGATGGCTCTGTTAGTCGCCGTTACAGGGAATAAGGTGAGCTAAGCTGATCCCTTTTTTAGCTGATGAAAACAGTGACAAAGTCGGATACTGGGTTTGTGACCTGGTCTGCCTGAGTGTGGAGATCTTCCAGGATGCTTCAGAGTATCCGAAAATGGAGGCAAAGTTTTCAGACGCATTTGAAAACGTGTTGTGCTAGTCTCTGTGTTTTCCAAATTATTGCTTCAGTTTTATTTTTATGTCTACATGCAGGATTGTAACTCCCTCACTGTATATTACTAGCAAACTAAAATCAAACATGTTTTCCTGACATATATGGCTATGCCAAAGTTTTATGGCCAAGTATTGCAGTTCAGCCAATAGAGAGGGCAGTTGTAGTTTGCTCCTGGGTGTGTTTTCCTTGAAAAGCCAAAGCCGGCTGTGTCTGTCTAGAGAAGAGTTTTGGGAACTGTAGGTCTCTGCTGCTTTTGACTGTTCTTGGAAGTAAGCAAAACTCCAACTGATGCTTATGTGATCTTTTCTGGAGAATGTGTGAGGCAAAGAGTGTGGCTACTTTAGAAGCAAATGGCCCAGCTGCAAGTGAGAAGGGAAGAGTGGTGAGGGTAGGTGTAGAAATGGCTACTGAGAGTCCCGATTTGTGAGTGCCCTGGAGCTGCTTTCCTGGGAGACGGCGTGCTGAAATGCTCTCCTTTGTTTTCAGATGACCGTTTCCCTGATTATGGCAAGGTGGAATTAGTGTTTTCGGGAACTCCAGAGAAAATTAAAGGTGAGTATACAGAAGCAAATATATGCTTAGTTTGAAAATAAACCACGTTGAAATGTAGATTTAAAAAAAAAACAATCCTTTTTTTGCCTTTTTTTGTTCCGCTTCGCTTTGTCAAAGATCTGAAATTCAGCTTTACTATAAAATATATCATATAGTTACTGGTTCAGATTTGAACGTGCTGTGTCTGAGATCATAGATAATTGTGTCCTGTGATAAGAACTTAAGATCATGCTTTATACTGCAGTTTAATTCTGTTAATGGATCTTTCCTTACTCCTTTTATGGTGTCCCAAAAAGTACTGATTCTGCCTGAGACTGAATGAAAACCAGATATTCTTAACTGTCTCATAAATATTCCCATTCAGTGTCCTGTGAATTGCAAGTTTTCTTTGTGGGTGGTGGTGTTTTTTTTTCCCCTCCACTAGTTTGATCACTTAGAAAGTTGTTGTAGCAGCCAGTAAGAAGTTGGGTTCTGTCCAGGTGAACACGAAGATCTTACTTAGCCTGTTGGAAAGCCATAAAAGAAAAACAGTTTTATAAATAAATTTGTCCAGCTCGTTCTAAACAGTTCTGGATAGTAAATACTGGAAGAGAGGCCAGCTGACGTGTCTGAAAAAGGATGAAAATTTTTTCAAGCCTCCCTTCCTTAGATGACAAATCAGAGGTGGATTTTAGCAGGCTCCAAGTTGTTGGAAAGTAAGGTTCTAAGTAATTGGAAATTTGTATTCAGTTGCTACCTAAGGGGTTAACTGGCTAGGAAGAAGAGTTCACCGTGAAATACTTATGTACAATTTCTGCAAAATGACTTTTCCACATTTGAAAATATTATA